TTTGGACTTTATCCTGTAGGGCAACAGGGAGCCAAGGGATGTTTCTAAGCAAGGATGTGACATGCTCAGGAATTGACTGCTACAGAGCCATGGCCTAGAGTGAACAGAGGCTGCAGCCAGCAGGGGACCCGATGGGAGGCTGGGACACTTCTCTTGAGTCTAGCCTGGCCCGGGACCCATCAGTTGGGGGTCCACATTATGGCGCTCACAGAAAGGTAAGTTTTCCTGGATCAAACCCCAAGACTAAACACAGACTGCATACAGACTGCACACAGTCTCTTATACGGGGGTGAATGCACATCTGTGACCCCAACGAGACAGGACAACCAGGCCGGGTTCATTGCCACTTCTTGTCCCCTAAAACAAGCAAGAGTGCCAGAGAAAATGGTGGTTCATGAGGCTGATGCTCCCCAGAGGAGCAGCATGCCTTAGAAATTAGAACCCTCATTTGCTTCCTGCCCACCTCTCTGTTCAGTCAAAGCTGGACAGAGGTGGGCTCATTCTTTTTTTTTTTTTTAAGATTTAATTTATTTATTTAGAGAGAGAGTCCAAGTGGGGGGAGGGGCAGAGGGAGAGAGAGACAGACTCCCTGTGCTCAGCGCGGGGTCCCTCTCCTGGGGGGGGTTTCCCGACAGCCCCACCTGTGCGCAGTCTTGCTCACTGGCACTGGCCAGGCTTACAGTGAGGCTCTGGAAGATGAAAGAGGGCTGAGGGTTGAGACATAAGCTCTGAGCCTGGATTTCCTAGGCCCTAAGGGTTGGAAGTCAGAGGCCTTTTGAGTGGAACAACCTAGGAGTCCCGGGGATAGAGTCCAGGATCTAGGTTGCCCTGGACTTGAATTCCATAACAGAGATGGCCTTGTATATTTAACCTCTCTGAGCTCAGCTAGCACACCTGTAAATGGGAGTCATCACACCCTCCTCCTAGGCTGGCCTAAAGCTTGGATGGCCTCATGTGCATCTACCCAGCACATGGCGCCACGGGAGGGGTGCCTCTTGTCTCCTTCGGTTCCCTCTTTGTCAGCAGGAAGAGAGGGCCAGGCAGAGCAGGGTGATGGGGAGAGAGGAGAGAAGCCCCAAACTAGCTCAAGGGAAAGCAGGAGGAGTCCTGCTTGATCTTTCTCTCTCCCTATTTACTTCTATACCCAGATGGTTGCTTATCAGTAACTCATCAGAAGTTTCTGATCGGCAAAGGGGGAGATGGCGTGAAGATCCACAGCTTAAAGGTTAAGACTCCACTGATTCAGATTCCCCTCACATTTACAGCCAGAAACCTAGAAACTTCTCTGAACATCCCCATCCCCAAGTGGAATGGCTCCAAGAGACCAAGGGACAAATGCTTGCTCCTAGTCCCCTAAGAGTTAGTGAAAACACTGAGCCCTCCCCGCCAGGCACTCACATTCCTTCGCCCACCCCATCATCACCTTTTCTCGTACACTGTTTCAGTTAAGCCAAGTGTCCTCAATTTTTTTTTTCTTTTTTTTAGAAAATGTCCATTAGAGCTGTTCCTTAACAGGGACCTAGCCCAGGTTCTGCCACTGTGTGACCATAGGCAATTTACTCTCCCTCTCTATGCCTTGGCAGCCTCATATCTATGAGGTAGGTAGACTAGACCTAAGCTCCCATCTCAGGTTCTGTGGCTGGGCTTTGGATGTGCACAGACTCCTTTAAAACTCGAGTAACACTGGTGGCATCCTAGAAGGGAACTGGGAGACAGAGGGGCCAGTAGCTCCAAAAAGTCCTTACAGTGCTGTATTCCCCTTTGCACCTTCTGAACTTTGAAGCAAAGAAATGTTTTATCTATTGAAAAATAAATATGTAAAATTGATATTAGAAAGGAAAGGAAATATATGCAAATCCATGTGTGTGAGGGCACCTGTACTTTCTGGGGAAGGAACCATAATCTTTATCAGATTTTTGTATGGTGGCTCTGACCTCAGAAAGGTTTAGAAAGCACTTCACTAGATGACCGTAAGGTCATTTCCCAGGTCTCGTTTCCTTGATTTGATAAAGTATGAGAGAAAACAGAAGTGGATTTCAGTAGTCATTACATTAACAGGCTGGGCTGGATGCACGTGAAAATGCACCCACGAATCTCACATTTGATAGCGTAGGCATGCATGCCCACATGAGCTGAGCGTGTTCATATGCCAATGCAGGACACAGTGGCCCTCTCCTATGGTGCAGTCTTCAGAGATCAAGGTCAAAAAATGATCCCCATCAGCCCATTCTCTCAAAACCCTCCTTATCTGACCCCTGTGCCCACCAAAAGAAACATTCAGCTTGCATTAGTTGTACAAACAATCCGTATAAATAAATAGAATATGGATTATTGAAAGTTGGCCACCTTGGCTCTGTGGGGGAAGGGAGTGAGATGCATGAGAAGTGGAGGAGTTGGGGAGATCCATCCAGGGGCAGTGAAGAAACCTAGGCTCATCCAGAGATCTCCGTCTGAATCTCTGACTCCGTAAGAATCCTCACGTGCCAGAGAAGAAAATGCTTCCTAGGCGTGCAATAAGGAAAGCTCTGGGGAAGGGGGAATCTAGCTGGGGGATCAGAGCAAGACCGGTTAAGACAACCAGACATCTGAATGGGGCAGAGCAAAGAGAAAGGTCACATGGTTCCAAAAAAGAGAAGGGAGAGCCGCCATTTAACAAATGGCCCCTGGCTATGGTAAACTTTAATTAACTGTGCCATTATAATTCACTTCCAGCCTGAGTTCCACCCAACCCTCACTCTCCCTCCCACTCCCCCTCTCCTCTCCCCCAGGCCTCATCAAGGCAGCCTTCCTTAGTGAAAGCCAAACTGGCCGCCTTTGCTGGATGCCTCATTATTACAGCTACTGCCTCTCCTGCTGATAATGCACCAGCAACAAGAAGGGGGAGCAACTACACCATTCTCAGCTCCTCACGACAGGCCCCTTTCCTACCTATGTGCACTAAAGCAAGGCTCTTGTAATCCTAAAAGTTCCTTCTGAGCATAATACGCCAGCAATGAAGACACAGTGGCAGGCCCCCAGCAGCAGAGGTGCCCACAGAGACAGGTAACAGGACCGACTCCCACGCGGAGCCACTGGACAGGACTCGCAGGGTCCGCATCTGGACAGGTAATCCACACATCAGGGTTCACATGCGCAGTTCAGTGCTGCGGCGGCCCCCGCGGCTCCTTCTTCATTCAATGGTGGTTAAATTACACCCATGACACTCTATCTCTGTATTCTCAGGCTGCTGAGCTTTACCCATTTTAAGAGTGTGTGTGCTGGGAGTGGGGGTTGGGAGCACCTCAGAGGATCTTCCAGGCGAAACATGCTTAGTTTTTATTAATGAGCTTATGAGAAAAGCCAACCCAGACCTTTAAGTGAAATGCGTGATTGGTAGCCAGGCAAGGATGGGTTTTAGAATTAACTCTTCCTACAGTCTGCTATGCATTATCACCCCTAAGTTAATTACCCCTGAGGATGAAAATAGGTTTCATGACTCATAAGCACCAATACAACACTTGGCAGCAGATGAAAATGCACGGACACATTTGCAGGAAGCTGACACGCATATCTATTTATATGTGGGGAGATTCTTAAAGAGGTGAGACAGGCACCTCCCATGTACCAGGATTAAGAGGCTGCAGCAGATCCATCAATTGCCAGTTATCCACACCCCCAACACACACACACACACACACACACACACACACACACACACACACGGAATCATGGTCTCCACTACTTCAATGATGGTGGTGGCTAAGCAGGAACAGAAACTAAAAGGGTGTTATTAACAGCGAGTCCCAACACCAACCCAACCTCCACACTGGTGTTCTGGGTTAACCAGTGATTTGCTTTTCCCCAAACATGCCTGCACCCATACCCACCTCACTATCCTCCTGCTCCTGCGCCCTCTTTAATGGACTGGGGTGAGGCACCAAGTCTCTCCCCTTATTGGCTTATTCGTCACTTTGATGGGGACTGTCCTGGCCCAGCATGCCCCCTCCATCCCAGAGTCCAGGTGTGCCAAGGAATGAATTTCAGATAGGTTTTGTTTTGCTACCCCTCTCCTGTTTTCTACTCTCTTCCATTTGCCTCCCACAAAGTACAAGGTCCAAGCCAGGTTTGTTTGCCTTGCCCTAGCTCTGGGAGAGCTCCAGTCTGGTCTCAGCCAAGGGGGCTCAGAGCTCTTACGGACATTCCAGTCCTGGTCCCCTTCCCTACCTCTCTGTACCTCACAAATGCCACCCGAAAGTTGACGGGACGACTACTTGAATTTCTTCACCAGTGGGAATGGGTTTCACTTGGTGTCATAAGTGACCTTTGCCTTGGGAACTGGGTTTGGCTTTTTTCTCTCTTCCCCCATTCCCCACAATCATCTTCAGACCAGCGAAGCGTCCTGCCTTTAGAAATACTTATCATAAAGGGGGTGGGGGGAGAAAATGAGTGATGAACGAGGTGGCACTGCTTTTCCAATGCATTAGCCGGAAGCTGCTGGCAACTCTCCTGGCCCTCCTGGAAACATACATTTGTTCCCCTGGTGCCCACACCCCGCCTGCCTCCACTGACGGCTCCCAGCTCTGCGGTGTTTTTGCTTTATCTGTGCAGCAAGCGTGATTTCTGCCACATCGAAGAGGCAAAGCATCCTAGTTTTTTTGTTGTTGTTCTGTTTTTCCCACCTGCACAAGTCACAGTTGCACTGTGGATCAGCACACACTTGAGGCCACAGGGTGGGTTCCTGACAATGCCATTTGCAGCTGGGGTGCTCATCGGGCAAAATAGAGATGCAGAAGAGTAAACAGAAATTGCTTAGTCAGCAACTGTCCCGCCCCAAGAGGTGAATGTAAATTGCCAGGGGAGGGGCAGTCCCCCAGCACAAGGCCTTCCACAGATGCCACCTTCTTGGAAGGATTTGCAGCGGTACCAGCATTTATGTTGTATGTTGGTAGGGAAGCTGTCCCCTATGTTGGAACTATGTGGCCTTAGCTCTAGAAAAACACACTTGCTGACTCGGGGCAGAATTAATATCAATTGAATTTATTACAAGTTACTAAGCTCCAAGGCACATTACAGTGTTCTGTTAACTACAGAAATGTATAAAGGACAAACAGAGCAGTTCCCCATGTCTAGCATTTCGCTCTACTGTTCAAAAGCATCCGTGCATCAATAAAGCAAAAACAAAACAACACGTGAAGATCCAACACATTCAGGTCAGTAGAAACAAACCAAAACATTTTCCCTCACAAACTTGCAACAAAAAACACCCCACCCCCCCGACACCCCCCCTTGCCATTTTGCAAACGAAACAGAAAAACAAAACAAAACAGAACAAAATGGAACAAAATAAAGTGAAGACTTCAACTCTTGGGGCTGTTTAGAAAGAAGCTTTCACCATTTTATAGCATCTTTTTTTTTTTTTTTAGGCAGCAACACTGGCCTTGGCAAAAAAAAAAAAGTCATTTTCTTTTGTGTGTTTTTTTTTTTCCTTTCAGAGAGTGCATAACATTTACAAAAATACACACCAGCAGCAGTCGTTGCTAAGGGCTATTAATTCTGTACCTAGGCAAACACTCTGCCACCAAATAAATGCTAACGAAATGATGCAAATGACCCAACCAATATTATACTGCTTAACACAAACCAGCTTATCCTTCAAATGAAGAAGTTACATACCTTTTGTTTCAAAATATAGAAACATACGACGAAAATAATGTCTATACATAAGACTAACTTTTTGCAGTTTGTTATATTCACAATTCTACATCTTGGGAGTGAGGGAAGGGAGGGTCGCTGCGGGTGGGGGAGGGGCCCTCTGGATCGGAGAGGAGCTGGTCAGGGGCAGAGGAGGTGGCGGTCTTGTGGTTCAAGGGTCTCTCTCCTTTTTCACTTTAACATCTCCAGCTAAGATCGTTGCGATTTCGCCCTGCATGAAGGCCCAAGGTACATTCGACCCAACCAGGGGGCATTTCTCTCCGCTGGGGCAGTACACCTCGCCGGTGGCCCCCTGGGCCTTGATACTCTCTCTAGAGCAAGGGAAACAGAATTTGTGGCTGGGGACGGATGGGCACTGAACGAAATGCGTGTCCTCCAAACGTTCGTGGCAAATGGTACAGCAGAGGGGCCCGCTGTTGGCCATAGGGGAATCCGGAATGTTTTGGGGGTGCACTTGGTCCATGCCCGGGTGGGTGCTAGGCGGCGGGGGCGCCACCTGTAAATTCAGGTCCCCGTTCCGTGATGCCAAGCGGCGCTGCCCGGGCACGGAGGCCGGCGACACCGGGCTGCTGCTGTTGCGCCTCGCGGACGCAGTGGTGGAGTGCACGGAACTGCCGTCCTTGGGGGAGTGCGCCGTGCCCAGAGTGTCCGCCACCGACATGAGGGCGGCCATGGGGGACGGGCCGTTCTGAGGGGCTGACTCGGGCGGCGTGGTCCGGTTGGAATGCGGTCCCAGGGGCGGAGGCGGTGGGGGCGGACCCCCGGCGGCATGGCCCGGCGCCGCAAAGCCCCCGGCCGACATGGTGAGCTTTAGTGCCTCGCTCTGGTTCGCCATCCACTGCTGCCTCTGCTGCTCCTCGCCCAGTTTTAGGGCGCCCTCGGCCGAGTCCGGGGGCTCGGGGGACGCCTTCCTCTTGCGAAGGCTGGCGGCTGTGCCCCGGCCCGAAGGGGTGGCGGGCGGCAGGGCCCCGGTACCCGGGGGCGCGCTGGGGGCGCGGCTCAGACTCACCAGCGCCGTGGGCAGCATGGGGCAGCTGGCGTCCAGGTAGGGCTGGGGCAGCATGTCGGCGCCGGGCACGCCCTCCTTGAAGAAGCGCACGGCCTCAGGCAGCAGGTCTCCGAGTAGGCGCCAGTCCCCAGAGCCGTGCTTCTTCTCGTACTCCAGGTACTTGAAGCCGGAGGAGAGACCCCGGCCGAAGTCCTTCATACAGTCCTGGTACATCTGCTTGGCCACACCAGATGCGCTGGAGTACACGTTGCCTGAGCCCGTGGGGTACTCAATGAACAGTTTCAACTCGTAGTCCATGCCGGGCTTGGAGACAGCATCGAAAGCGAAGACGCGGCCCAGCAGCGAGTGGTCCTTCTTGAAACGCACCTCGTAGGGCGTGCAGCCGGCCAGCGTGAGCAGCGTGTCGCGGACCATCTTGGGCTTGTTGGCCCACTCCTCCGCGCGGTTGCGCAGGCTCTCGCTCAGCTCGGCTAGGGCCTCGGCGTTCCGCTGCTTCTCCTTCAGCTCGCGCTCCTGGTCTGTGCTCGAGACCGAGCCGGGCCTTTTGCCGCCAGCACCCACACCCACCTCCGCCACTGACGACGAGGTCGAAGACGACGCCGAGGACGACGCGGTTGATACGCCCGGGGCGCCTCCAAGACAAGCGGGGCCCCCGGGCGCCCCTGGGGGCGCGGGCGTCGGGGGCCCACGGCTGCCCAGGCCGTGGGGCGGCGGTGGGGGCAGCACGGCGGCACTGGCCGGGCCGTTAAGTAGCGTCTGCGGCAGCAGGTTGGGGGGCACCGTGAGCTGGGGGCCTCCACCACCCCCCGGGTTGGGCAGCCCCGTCACCAGCCCACCGTGCGTCCCGCGCCGAGATGCCACTGACGCCGCGGCTGAAGATGAGTTGGGGCTCTGGCGGTTCAACTCCGGGGGTCCCTCCTCCGGTGTCGGCTTGGGGAAGCCATTGGGGCCCCCCAGGCCGTTGGGCAGCCGCGCCGCGTGGCTGCTGCTTCCCAGGCTCACCGGCGGTGGCGGGTACTCGAAGCGGCTGCGCTGCTCAACTGCGGCGGCGGCGGCGGCGGCGGCGGCGGCGGCAGCGCTCAGGCCATAGCGCTCCAGGCCGGACGGGGCCGCCAGCACAGCGGGCTTGCTGGAGCCATCGACGTGGTTGAGCTGTTGTTGCTGCTGCTGCTGTTGCTGCTGCTGCTGCTGCTGCTGCTGCTGTTGCTGCTGCTGTGCGGCGGCGGCGGCGGCCGCTGCAGCCGCCGCCGCCTCCTTAGCCGACAGGGCCACCGTCTTGACCCCGACGGGCGGCGGCGGCCCGGGGGAGCGGCCGTCCTGAAAGCAGCCGTGCGCCCGCTTCAGCTGGCGCGCGGTCTCGATCACGAACTCGATGCGATCGGCGCCCTCGTAGTTGACGCAACCGCGGCATACGGGTTCCGAGAAGTCCCAGATCATGGCCCAGGGCATGCGGGGCAGGTCGCACAGGTAGCAAGACTGTCTCCGGGACGAGGACACCTGCGCCGCCGACATGATGCCGGCCCTGGGGAAGGTAGGCCCCCGCCCAGGCTGTCTCCGCCGCGCCTTCTCCTCCGGGAGGACTGGCCGGCTGGGGAGGGAGTCCGGCTGCGGGGGAGGAAGGGGGGGCGAGAAAGTTCTGCCCCAGGGGCTGGAGGGAGCGCGAGTCTCCACCGCCCGGCGCAGCGCCTCTCCGCGGGGGCTCCACCGCCGGGGCGGTGGACGAGTTCAGCCCGCTCCTCGCCCCCACCTCCTACTGCGGCTGTGTCGTCGGGAGGGGAGCTCAGGAGCCTTCTTCCTGGTGCCGCGGACCCGGGCTGGAAGCTCCGGGCCCGAGGGGAGGGGGCGAGGGTGCCGGGTGCTGGCCGCCGTTGGCTCTTGGCCCCCTCCCCGGAGTGGCTGGTGCTTGAAAGCTCGAAAGGGGCTGTCTCTTCCTTTCCCCTGGGGGCCCCCCTACGAGCTGCGTCCTCTCCCCGCCAGGCTCCCTGGGGCGAAGGCTAGAGGGTTCAGTGCCACCCGGTGCCCGGGTCCAATCTTGCTGAAGTCGCCGCTTCCCCGGAGGGCCGGGGGTTGGGAGGGGGTGGCAGGCGAGAGGAGCTTCTCCCCTCCGCAGCGTCGGCCGTTCCGCTGGCGGCGGCTGGGTTTGCACGGCCGGAGGGAGCCGCCGCGGCCACTGCTTCCAGGACGCACGAGAGCAGAGGAGAGGAGCGCGCGCACACAGGCTCCGGCCGCCCGCAGGCCTGGCCGGCGCCCGGGCCGCCGCGGCTGGCGGCGCTCACGTTGGCTGCAGGGCGCTCGCGCGGCGCCTCGGCCCGGGTCGCATCCCTTCCCGCTCGCACTCGCCCGGAATGTGGGGTTGTGATTGTTACTCTACGTTCCGGAGGCGCGTCTCGGCGCTCCCGCTCGCGCTGCGGCTCGCGCTGTCCCCGGCTTGGCCGCGCGGGATGCCGCCCGGGCGGAGCGCTGACGTCACCGCCATGCTCTGCACCAGTTCTCCCCCCTCCCTCCCCTTTACACTTCCTCTGTCTGTGGAGCCCACTTGTTGCTCAGGAAAGGCGCATGCGCGGCAGGACGCCCAGATTCCTCCTAGTCGGCCCCGCCCCCGCGCCTCCGCCTTCCCCTCCCCCCCCCCCACCGTGTGTGTACAACAGCTGAGGCCCTGCGAGCTAATGCTGGACGTCCTGGACTGGGGGGTGGAAATTAAACAGACGATGACCTTTCCTTTCCCCGCCCGGCTTTCCCAAGTAAAAACGCATTTAAAAACCACAAGCGTCATTTCCGATCCCGCTCCCCACCCCACCCCGAGCAGTGCATTTAAATGTCCAGTTTCAAGATTTTCATTGCGAATTTCTTCTAGGGTATTACTCATTTCGTCTGTAATCAAACCCCCCCCCCGTATGGATGTTGCATTCATTGCTACTACTGATGCCAAAGCACCTGCAAAATTAGCTGTTTTCCATTTGCCCAGAAACTGCCTTTTCGATTTGTTTTTGTGCTCTGGTCTAGGAACCTGAGTTTCAACGACAGCTAAATGAATTCAGGGTGAGCTACTCCTCCTCCCAGTCGCACTCTAAAAATTTTGGCTGAATGTCTAAAGAAGCTACGAGCACCCGGAGGCCTTTAAGGAAAACACTGGCTGCGCACAGCTGCAGTTGGGGGCAGGGATGGGGAAGGTGCTCACGGAGAGGCCAAACAGGTGAGTGGTTTTTCTGGGTTTGATAAAAGGAGGTGGGGTGGCATTTAATGATGCTGCTATCTCTTTGTAAAGCCCAGTGGCAGGTTTCAAAAATTCTTTCTCACGTGCTGTGATTTCATTCCATAGTGCCCCAGAAGGCTGAGCAAGGCCATGATTTCTTTTCCGTTAGGGGACCACTGCTCATCATTATTGCTTATTGCGGAACAGATATGTTGGTCATAGCTGTAGTGACGGCAGTTCAACTGATTCTTCTATGTACTGGGTCTGCTCCCCCCACCGCCATGAAAACTGAGATAATCCTGGGCAAGGCTGGAGGAGGGGAAGCAATATTATGGCATCTCAGGTTCTGCAGTTTGGCGGACCAGGTTGGAATTTCTTCTCTATGACTTACTGGCTTTGACCAGGTTGGAATTTCTTCTCTATGACTTACTGGCTTTGTGACCTTGATGTAGTTACTTTCTTTCACGTTCTCTCTGTTTTCCATCTGTAAAATGGGATCATAGATCCCAACTTAATAGAATTGTTTGAGATTCCATTTTGTTTCTTGTCATAATCGGAGGTAACTCACTGGGATTGCGGTGAGCCAGACACTGCTAGGTGATTTTCTTGCATCATCACTAAACTCTCAATATTATCTACAAAGTAGATTCTGTCATGAACTCTGTTTTACAGGCTCACAAAGTAAAGAGGTTAAATAACTTGCCCAGGGTCACATGGCCATTGGAGATGGAGCTGAATCCAGTAAATCTGGTTTGAGAGGTAGCTGTGACAAGCTCAGGTTCTCAGAGGTGGTTTGTAGTGCTCAAAATTTCCATCAGTCCCCCCATTCTCCTGTCTTCTGTTACACACAATCTCATGTAAAGTGCTATGCAAATACATCTTCAGAACCAACCCCCATCCTTCCCTTTCCAAACAGGTTGTGCCAGTGAGTTCTTACACATACAGAAGTTTTGGATCTACCACTGCCACAGACTAAAACAAATACAGCGTGTCATGTGTGGAGCATAGTGTCAGGCCCACAGGAAGCGGCAGTAAGTGTTGGTTATAATTAGTATTAATATTAACGTTGGTACTATTGCTAGTTAACATGTGAAAGTCCTTTGTAATTGCATAAAACATAAGGATCGGTATTCTCATCACTACTATTAACTACTAATTGTAATAAAGTTCCGTTTTGAAACAAGAAGTATTTCTTTTTATTTTGACACTTGACCTTCAGAGCCTGTTCTCCCATCCAGCACTCCTCAGCACATGGTTCTCCCACTCATTCTGGGGTCATAGAGGTGCAGAGGAAGGGGAGTTTTAAGGATAGGGAGAAAGGGGGAAGGAAGAGCCCTAGGGAGCCCCTCTTTCATCTCAGAGCAGCCAGATTTCTGTTATTGCAAAAAAAGTGAGCTCACTGTGAACCCCCCAACAATAATAAACTTTCCCTGGCCAACTGGCTCCCAGCAGTGACTGCTCTGTAAAGAGCTGCTTCGGAGCACTGCCTCACCCTTCCAAACTTCAGCCCTCCCCACACCACAGCTACCCTGGAGTGAGTCAAAACACAGGGCTGGGATATGGAGTGACATCCCCACCAGCGCATGGCTCCAGGCTCATTAGCTTTGGCTAGGCTGCTTCACCTATTTCTTTACATTAATATTTATTCAGCCCATCCCTTTATTAAACCAAAAATACTGAGGAACAGCAACCTATTCCCAACCCTCTAGCCAGGCTGCTAGAGAAAGCAAGTTGGGAGTCTATGTCACAGTGTTATGTTTGGTATGCGCGCACATATGTCTCCATCTCCCTGTCTGTCTCTGTCTTCGCTGTTACTAAAGGAGAGATATATATACACATACATGCCGGGTGTCTTCAGACACACTGAGTTAGAAATAAACATGCATTTAAACAAACTTCCATTACAGTCTCATAATACTTTAATTTAAAAAGCATAGCTCTCTTGATTCCCTTCCCCCCTCCAAGAATCTCCCATCGTTTATGGTGATCAGTTTTGTCCTAACTGCTTGTCTGAGATGGCCGTGTTTGGGGATGTCAGGGACTGTGAGAGGCAAGAACATCGATGTTTTGGAGATAGATTTTCCCCTCGAGGCGAATCCCGTGTGACAATACTGCGTCCACAACATGGGAAGGAAGGAAGCAAGCAGGGAGTGCTCAGCCTAAGGCATCAGGTGGAGAGACGACTCTTCGCCTTCGCCCGCGGAGTCTCCCAGATGGGGTCTTCTGGGTGGGGTCTGGGAGACTAGCAAAGCCTGAAGTTCAACCAGGCTCCAGGGGAAACGCCTGCAGTCCTCCCTAAATGTCCTTCCTAAGGCTTTGTCTCCCCGCAGCTTGCCATCTGAGCTGGCACCCTCAGAGAACCCGCCCCCCCCCAAACTGGAGCAAAAGGTCAGCTCTCCACTTGACCTTTCCAGAGGCCGCAGCCCAACCATAAGAGTGAGAAGATCGCACGCAGTGTGTCCACGCACTTCTATGCTCCCTGCAGTCTCCCTTCCGATCCCCGAGCCGGTTTGTGGCAGAGTTGGGTCGGGCTGGGGACTCTTCGGCCTGGCATCCCTGCAGCCAACTGGCTCGGCCTTGGAAGAGGCCCGGGCTGAACCTCGCGTCACCCCTGCGGCAGAGCCGCACGGCCAAGCGCCCTGGCAGGAGAAAGGCCTTTTTTGGTAACGCTGAGCCCGGCGGTAAGCAGGACCCGATGAAAACAAACGTCTGGGTTGGGCTCTCCTCCGGCCTCTGGCCTCTCCAAGGGCCCCCATCTCCGCGAGCCAGGAACACCCACCCTCACCGCCCCCCCCCCCCCCCCCCCGGGGGGCCCGGGGGGGGGGGGGGGGGAGGAGAATCGCTCGGCACAGTAATTTACACATTTACTCCTGGGCGGGTTCTGTGGCGTGGCGGAAGTATTGGCCTTTTCCTAAAGTATTAATTCTGGTATTTCAAAAAAAAAAGTATTAACTTAGGCCAGGGCGTAGGGTTACGCAAGAGCCACTCGAGCGTGAAAGCCCAGGAACAACGTGATTCGCCGAGAACCCCGGGGTGGGGGGGGGAGCCTGCGCCGCCCGCCAGGAGCTGCCTAGCCTGCAGCGCGCGGGCAGCCGGGCGCTCCGAGCAAAGCCGGGTGGAAGGAAATTTCGAGGACGTAGTGGTTGGTGCTGGCACAGCGGCCACAGCGAGCGATCAGATCTCTAACTGCTTTCTTCCTGAAGGCGCGGGGAACAGGGAAGGGAAGAAAGGCAGAGGGAGTCGCGTCTGGTTCCTGCCTCCTCCCCGCTTCCTCTTTGCCAGCGTGCGGGGCACGGGGGAGCCCAGCGCTGTCCTCAGCAAAAGCTGGTGTGGGGTTTTTTTTTTTTTTTAGGTCCAAAAATAAACCCTGGAATGAACCTCCTAGGGACCTGGCCTGGGGGGGAAAAAGGGGGAAGCGCCAGACAAGGGTGCTATTCACTAACCCGGTTGAGTTTAAAACAAACACCCGCACCCCAAGAAGGGGAGTCGTGGAGAAAGAGGGCTTGGAGGGCGAGAGTGAGCTGAAAGCTCGGTGGGGGAGCTGTCAGGGCCACAGGTGCGCAGACCCTGGACCCTCCACCCGGCCCCGTGTGCGCATGGGCCTCAGCACCGAGCAGGAGCGCCGGTGGGTTCCCACCCGCCCGCATCAGGGCTGGGGATTTCCACTGGCCGGCTTCGAGACCAGTTGCCGCCGCCGCTTTCCTGCTGGGGGCCGCCAGAAGGCGGGGCCTCCGAGCGGGAAGCCCTCCCTGAGGCCTCCCTGTCCGACGGTCAAGTCAAGTCGGCTATGACGGGCAGCCATCACTGCTGTCACGGGTTGGGGTGGACGGCCACGATCTGCTCATATGTTGACTTGCCTGAGCTGGCGGTCAGCCCCTAACTCAGGAGAGGGAGGGAAAGAGGGCGCTTACCCTTGCACATATTCACATTATGTTGTTCGACTTGGCTGACCCTAAATAGCTGTCTGACCTTGAGCACATCACTTGAACTTTGGTTTCTTAGTCTGTAAAATGGGAGTAATTTCACTGCCTCGTTGGTCTGCGTGGAAAATATGGTATTATAATGTGCTTCATAAAATGTAAGAGATTATGAACAATAAAATGACAGACATTTGTCTAGGACCCTCAAGTGCATTCCCAGACATTATCTCACCGATCCTGTGAGGT